AACTGTTGACGCAACAAGAGCCGCGCCGACTGCCATGACGAGCCTCAGCGTTGGCCGAGGAGATCCGTCAACTTCCGGGCCATGCAGCCGCGACGAAGTCCGGCCCTCTTGTATGCCAGACCCACCAACTGAAGGACACAATTCCCCTCCAGTTTATGTAGATGCTCCCAGGCTGCCTGCCCTTGTCCACGGCATGACAAGTAGAAATAGAAGGTGGCCTCCATGGTTTCTGTGAGCTTTCGGGCGCAACTGAAGCCTGTCACGATCCCCCTTTTGATGGCCGCGTAAATTGTTTCCAGGGAGTGCTTGATCTCGTTGGTGGTGAGCGCGGGTGTCGTTCCTTGTCCTGTTGCAAGTGACGGAGCTGAGGGTTCCAAGCCTGAAACTTCCGTTTGCTTTCCGCATCCATCCACCCCAGGTCCACAACGCATCCTGTTCCAGGGCTTCGGTCCGATTGGCTGTGCCAGCGAGACGTCCGAGCATGTCAGGAAGTGTACGGTGGCATGGCAGTTCTCGGTACTCGTTCTGCTAGTGCAGGATGCTTCACGACGCGGACCTGAACGAGTCTTTGGAGAAGTCAAACAGGAACCCTCCCAGCAATCCCAGAAACGAAGAAGACCGGCGGAGGAGAACCAACAACCAGGCTACAGGCCCAGGGGAAACAAGATCGACGAACTGATAACTACTTTGGCCCGGCTGGCTCTTCGACAGGAAGAGGAAATACAGGTGCTAAAGCAGGATCATTCGTACATGATGTTCATGCGCCCAGGGAAGGATTCCATCCTGCACTATCTCTTCCAGACGGCGGCACAGAAGCAAGCCGAATCACCGACCTGGGGAATAGGCTTCCAACCGGCTCGGACGGTGCTGTCCCTGGCACTCTTCCGTGACCTGGTCAGCTGGCGTCATCCGCCGTGTCTCCACACAGCCTCTGCATTCCATAATGTTGGACGTGATCCTCGTGAGCACCGGGCCTTCGAAAGGCACGTGTGGCTGTAGGGCATTCATGACCGCCTGGGATACCCTGACCGACAGCTATTTTGGGGCGGAGGCGGTCCACGAGGTGGCGAGCCTGGGTTGGGAACCACCGTCCCTCCCTCAGATTCCGGAGGGTCCATCAGGACTTTCTCGTTGGATTCGTCTCCCGCCGACATGGCTTCACGGCCAGGTCTCGCAGCCATCGCCTGTCGACTAGTGACTAGTGAGTTGAGTTGTTTCGGCTTCGCATGTGACGCTGTGAGCCCAGGAATGCACGGCTCCTTGCATGACAGTGGTCACTGGATATATGTGTAGACAGACACCGCCTCAGAACAGCCTCAAATCTCAAGACCCACAGGCATGATAGCAAAGGACACGTCATCGCATGACCCAGCCGAGGAAGGAAAACAGCCTGCAGGCACATGATTTAATTACGACGTAACAAACATCGAACTTGTCGGCGGCGCCTGCGTCGCCTGGGTGCAGGTTGGTAGCGCATACGCCACTACCTCAAGTTTTGCCTATGCAGTTGCAGCTGTGTGGCCGGACATCGGTGCTATAGACGGACCACGGTGTCCAGATTGAGGGCCAGAGCGTGTCGCCAACGTAGTCAGAAACACCATGTAAGGAAGTGCAGGCGACAAAACCATGACGATCTAGTAAAACTGAATCTGTGCAAACGCTCCGATAAAGAGCATCTCGTCCAGAGGAATCAAGGTGGGCAGTGCGTTCAGATGAACACTGCTGTCGGTTGGGGCAGTTTCATGGTGGTACAACCCAGCCACTCGCACATACCACTGCGCTCCAGATGAGAGCCCGCTTCATGGGACCTCCTTTTCCGGAAATTCTTGGTTTTCTCAGCAGCACGGATGGCGGAGTCGAAAGCTGGGTTCGATTGGAGTCCCCGTGCCTTCTAGTGGGGTTTACGTTCAACGTCGAAGCTCAGGTTTGGCGCTCTCCACTGCAAGCCAAGATGCAAGAAGTAGTAGTCGTCGTCGTCGTAGTAGTAGTAGCAGGTGCAGTAGCAGTAGCGGTAGCAGTAG